AATTCGTTTTGGCATCGTTGGATAGAGAATTGAATGGGGGACCCCCTCCCTGGATCCGCCCTTGCCGCGAAAGCCTTCACAGTCTGATAACAAATATTATGGTTGAAAACTTTAAATTAAAATTACCCCATAATCGAGTCGCCTGTTTGGTGCCTGTAACAGTAGTCCCTACCTGTAATCGCGCTCAACTTACAAGGAGTTCCTGCGCGAGTTTTCGCACGGCAAGAACCTCGCAACCCCTCGTTCAGTCGAAGAGGAGTGTTGCTCCTAGACCTGGACAGCAGATTGGGATAGTGTCCGTTGCGTGAAATAGGAGGAGTTAACCGTTGGAAATGTTCACTGTAATAGTCCGTTTCATTGCGCTCCATTTCGGCATAATCGTCAAGCGTTTCGGGATTGCTCTGAAAAGCACGTAGCTTGTCGGTTTCACTGAACTGTGTAAAGCTTTTGCATGAATCGGGCTTTGCGGGTAGCGATTTCGACGCAGGCAAGCCAATAGCTTGTGAGGATTTCCGCTGCTTCCAGGCCCAAGTTCCAAGCATTTGCACTGAAGCATACTCGTTCAAATAAATATTGAAAATCAGCAATTATCATCACTTACCAATAATTATTGTTGCCGTCGCTAAGAGCAGGTTTTGAAGACCCAGATAACTGTTCCCGAACACAGCCATGACTAAGTTAATGGGCGGCAGGCTAATAATGGCCAATCGGGTGCTGGGTTTTGCCGAGAGGAACGCACAGCCCAGCATTGCCACCAATGAGAAACAGACGTGCGAAAAAACCAAGTTCAGTCGTTCAACTGCCTGGTCCGTGCCTCCCAAAGCTGAAGATTTGCATGAGAATCTACGAATAGTTCAATCGCCTACTTAATTACCTGTCAGAATCCACGACACTTTTTCCTCCAAAGTCTGTCTGGTTCCCTTAACTAGATTAACCAGAGCGTGCATAGTTTCATTCACTTCGTTCAGGTTGTTCAAGGTGGCCTCATACTGGCCTTGGAACTCCTCCTTTTGCTTCAACAGCATCTCAGAGTAGCCCTCTAAAACCGTTAAACACGCTCCTAACTGAATCCCTTCCCTCGTCCAAGAACTTACCAATCCGGTCAAACAGTGCACTGGCTTTCTTCTGAATAGTGTTCACATCCTCCAACAGTTGAGCATGATTGACCTTGGTGTCTGAGTGCTGATCAGCGACCATTTTTGCAGTACTTGCCAGACTTGATTGCACCTCTTTGGTCATCTGAACCAGCGTGTTGTGAGTATCACGGATCAGCTGCTTCTCGGAAGCCAGTCTCCTGATGTTTTCTTCAATGACGAGTTGACCGTGCAGCTGAGCTTTCTCAAGATCCTTCTGCTGCTCGAAAAGAGTATTTTGACCTGCAATGAGAATTTACCTAAAGTCCTGACTGCTCTTGTTGCTAAGAAGTTTTGCTGACCTTTGGCTAGAGACTCGGAAGTTTTTTCGGCTACGCCAAGGATGTTTTCCTGGTTGGTGGAGATTTTTTCCAAAACTCCCAGTTGATTTTGGGATGCTTCCATTAGCTTGTTGACGGTGTGCTCTCCGAGGGCTGTAAACTGGGATTTCCTGATCATGTAACATACTGCTTTGGCTCTGGAAATCAGCAGAATATATGAAAAACGTTGACTTGTCGGCTGAAAGGGTCAATTACCGATTGCTCATCAGAAGGTAGCTGTTCCAAGTGTCAGAATCCATAGCACTAGTGCATTGCTTGATGCTCATTTCTTCCATGCAGGTGAATATTTTTCTGCCTTCAACAAACGACTGGCAATTCAGAAGATGCACTGCCATCTTGGCCAGTTCTTCGTCATTCATCTTGTTGCAGTCGGTTTTCAGTCTCAACACCACCTGCCAGAGAAAAGCAAATCTGAGTGCTGACTTCGCCACTGAAAACTGTCCACTTCTTGTGTTCTTCCCAAACCACTCACCCTCTGCTGGCAAGAGTCCAGTTCAGAATTCGGCACTCCAGTGAGCTCTACAGCCTTAGAAATAAACTTCTCATCCACGCTAGATACTTCATACGGTATAGTTTTTTTGAACTCCTGTATCGAGCGGACTTCATTCTTCGTTCCATCACCATACCAGAAGAAACCCACGAAACTAGTAAAGTAATCTGTTAGAGCCCCTTCTACGCTGACGTTGCCAGCGAAAATCAGCAACAAAACTGCTAGTGTTGTATGGAAAAGCAGCGGAACGAAGGTTTTCATTATAAAAACAGATAGTCAGTTATTAAATCAGAATAACTTGAACAAATCGAGCATAGATGAAGACAAGTAAACCGAAGCAGCGACCGTTAAAATTTCAAAACTAATGCAGCTGTTCAATTTTGACCGATGTCAGCCTGACAGGTGGTCCATGTTGCCAATTGGGAGAAGGTTCACTTTATATCTGGCGGATTTCGGCGGTTTTTTTAATTTTACACACACAAGTACACTTAAAATAAAGCACATTCACGGAAAAAAATGTGGATGGTCCATAAATTTGCAGATAATGTAGAATTTTTACTCGACATTTATCTTTGAAAATGCGATTGCGCAGTGCTGTATACTCTTAAATCATGTTTTAAGAACTAATAATCGATGATTGGACACACAAAATTTGACCTATGTTCCACTGCACAAAATATGGCGTAAATATTGACACAACATGGCTATTTTATTAAACTTTGTAAATCTTTTCTAGCATGATTCTATGGACAATCCGCATTTTTTGTCTTGAATGTGCTTTATTTCAATGGGTCTTTAAGGGAAAATTTAAAAAAACTCCGAATTCCGCCAGATATAAAGTGTAGCTTCACCCGTGCACCTGGGATATAGGCAATCCAACATATTTTCACCCATTGACGTTTCTTTTGACGAGTTGTCAAATAGTTTCCCTGCTTGTTTGTTGTTTAATTAAACTCTTCATGTATTTACTTGGGAAAAAACTCTCAACACCCACTAATTGGTGATTTGAAAATGGAGAAGAGTGCAGTGGTGATAGCACTAAGCAACTTCGAAAAAATATGTCGAATCTGTTTACTGGAAGGCGAAGATTTGCAGTCAGTTTACAATGTCCTGATTCACAGTGAAGAAAAGACTGAAGAAATCAATTTGCTGGAAATATTTAAAAGACACTGTGATGTAGAAGTGAGTAGCTTTAAAACGCCCTGAGAAAACCCAATAAAATCCACCTTGTTTGAACTCCAGGTCAGTCCGACTGATGAAAAGCCCCAGCAAGTATGCAAACCTTGTATAGGCCTGCTTAGTGAGGCGTACAGATTCTTTTGCAAATGCGTCCAAACAAACTCTCTCTTAGACACCGTTTTGGCTGAGCACAAACCTCTGGCCTTAAGTGCCAAACCAGAGCCTAAAGTAAAACCACACTTAAGTGAGACTGGCCAGAGTGAAGAACAACGGCCTTACTTCAGCGAGTCTGAAGATGAAGCCTTTGGCGCCGAATGTGAGGATGACTCCGACTGGGAGCCTCTGAAGGAGAAAAAGTTCAAGATAGAAGCAACAGCAACAGCTGAAGACGAGCGTCAGGAAACTGAAGATGAAGTCGAAATCAAAGATGAACCTGTTATTAGCAGTAAGCACTTTTTTAAATGTAAAAAATGCGATACTCCCTCTAAATATTGTAGGAAGAAAGCGAAGATTCACTGACCGTATACAACCACCAATCAAAAAGAGAGGAAGACCAAAGAAAAATCGGAGCAGTGAACCCAAAGTGGAAAACGATGATTGCGATGCGATAGAAAACGAGAACAAAGAGCTAATTTGTCGGTTTTGCAGTAAAGTTTTGCCTGATGTTAATACATCAATTGATCATTACGATGAGGTGCACGCCCCAGAACTAGAAGTGGATGAGTGCATTCTATGCACTCGCCCAAAACCGTACAAAAAACGCGATAATCTCGTTTACCACATGGCGCTTCACTCGAAAGACAGCATAAAGTGTATACCGTGTCGGAAATATTTCAGGACAAAAGACTTGTTAACCGAGCATTTAAACGAGTGCTTCAAAGTGGATGTTAAAACATCGGTGAAAATCGAGCGAGAAGGAGAACCAGATGGGAGCCTGAGTAAGTACGGGTTTTAGAAAATCGGCACAAAAATTCCGCTTTTATTTTAGAGCCCGAACCTCACAACAATCGGCTGTCCCAAAAAGTGTTGAAACTCACCCAATACGATGGCGCTTTCACATGCCAGCTTTGCAACGAAAATCTGGGAGAAATTGGCGCAGTGATAGCGCATTATGAGACCTGCCACTTGGACGATCTCTCCTGCCTGATATGCTTGAGACAATTCACTCAACAAGTTCCTTTGTTTCATTTGGGGTTACATTCGAGAAAATCGCACATTTGCCGGCCCTGTCGGCTCTTTTTTCACACGAAGGAAGAATTCGAAGAGCACAACATCAAATACGACCACGACAAGTCGTTATCTTGTAAAATATGCGGCAAGAAATTCTCTAGAAATTACAAAAAAGTACGTTTTAAACACCGTTGGGGTTTTTTGAAATGCTATTTAAACGACTTTCCAGAACAAACACATGCTGAGCCATCTGAAGGAGAAGAACTACTCGTGCAACAAGTGCGGGAAGACCTTCACCTACAAGACCAGCTTGGTGCGCCATTTCAAGATGCATTTTGGAAAGCGGTTTTTATGCTCCTCCTGTGGAAATGGTAGGAAATGGGGGTTTGCCTCAACACCGCTTTAAAGTGTCTTTTTTAGTTTATACGACAAAATTTATGCTGCAGCGGCATATTCGAATAATGCATACTCATGTGGATGAAGATGGAAACCCGCTACCCAAGCCTGTAAGACATTTCCAGTGTTAAATTAATTTTGGTTCAAGTTTGGTTGTTGCAGCCTCCCAAACCGGTGAACCTTCAGTGCGAATTTTGCGGCGAAATTTTCACCACTAAATATGGATACGGCAGACACATCCGAAGACATCCAGAATTTAAAGAGTTTAAATGTAAGATATGTTCATTTATGTGCGACACCAGGGTGAGTCACCACGTTTTTTCTCCGGTTGACCCATGTAGTTGACGCAATAATGCACTTTTAGGATCAACTGGATGTTCATATGGAGCAGAAGCACAACAAGCACACGTGCGACGTATGCGGAAAGAGGTTTCCATTTGAAAGTGAATTGAAAACGCACCATCGGAAGCACGAGGACATGGAAACGGCCAGATTTAGGTAATTTTTCCAGGATAAATGGCATCGTCGTTCACTTTGATTGATCACTAGGTGCGACATGTGCGGAAAAACAGCCAGAACTCAAACGCAACTGAAAGTCCATTACAGAATACATACAGGAGAGCGACCGTTTTCTTGCGACACATGCGGCAAATCGTTTAAGCAAACGGCACATCTCAAAGTGCATATGTTCCAGCACACTGGAAAGATGCCATTTAAGTGCAAATTGTGTGATAAATCGTTTCCGTTTCAGCATGTTATGGAGATTCACATGCGCACCCATACTGGTAGGTAGAGTGGAATGTAAACATAGTTTTGATTTTTCATTTGTGTAAACTTTCAGGTGAGAAACCCTTTCAATGTATGTTCTGCGGAAACGCCTATCATGATCGAACAACAATGCAAAAACACCAAAAAAAGAAACATCCCGAAATGCCTCTGCAAAAAGCCAGTAGAAGCGAATATAAAATCGGCAATTTGCCCTAATACTATTGTAACAGCAAATTGTGCATAAATTAATATGTGATAAGCCTTCGAAAGTGCTATACAAAATAGGTAGATCCGTGTGTTCAAGTGTTGGTTTTCGAATCTCATTGCGTGTGTTTGTCTTCAATTGTATGAAGTAGTATTTATTTTGTAGCGGCCACTTTTTACAAGTGCATCTCTATTTTTCTTTTTACTAGGTAATTTTATATTGACTTTCACCGCTGCATTGTAGAGGAACTTCAGTTGCTTTAGCAGACCTTTACTTGATGATAGGAATATTAAAGATTTTTATACGAAATAGAATTTTACTCTCAACTCAACAACAATCCTGCACAGCTCGGTATAAACAAAACACAATTAACAAGTGGGGCGATAATAATGGATTTTCAAAGTTCTTTCCCTTCGAGGCTCTCAACATTCCGTATATAGCTAATAAATAACAATGGTTCATAAATATAATTCATACACATTTATAGGGTGAAGTTTGGAAGCATGATGAAAAACTAAATAGAAAGCGGAAATTAGATATCTAATAACGCAGGTTTAGTGTCTTTTGCGCACTTGATGATCGATCGCATACACTTAACAAAACCGGTGTCCTTAGGTTTTTCCAAACCTCGCAGCAAACGGTTTTTCATCACGGCGATGAATTCTTTGTTACTTAACATTCCATCATCTGGAAAGATGAACATATTCGATGTTGCAATTTTTTGAGATTTCTATGAGCTTGATAATCGAGTGATAAGTTTGCGTACTTACGATTTTCATCAAAAATTGTAAACACCACATGGATAACGTGGTCGCTCAGGTCCACATGCACCACACTTTTGGCAACGTGTTTCAGCGTGGATTCATCAAGGGAGGCTCCTGCGATGTGGTAGAAGGTGAGCGCTGTATCCACATCGTTGATGTTGTTGAGGAAATGGAAGAAATTCAAGTAGTCTTCCCTAGACAGTCCTTTAGAGTTGTCCTTAAAACTGTAAGGCAATTGAGAAGATATTAATCTAGAAGAACTGTAAATTTGGCGATTGCTTACGTCTTCTTCACTCGTTTCAACATTCGCGATTTCTTCTTGTTGGAGTAGCCCGCATAGGCCAGCAGCAGCTCTGTAAAATCTGCCTCAGAAATGTTCCCGTTCTTATCCGGGTTTTTGCGCTGAAACTCCAGACTCAAGATCTCTCTTTGCAGCTGCTTCTGGAACTCCAAGAACTTCTCAATGGTGAGCTTCTGCTTGAGGTTGGGACCGAAGAAGTAGGTGGTTAAGGCGGAATTGACACCCTAAATTCAAATTGCAAGGATTTCAATCGCAAATTCGTGCCTTAAGCCAGCGTTCTTTACCTTGAACGTATTTCCCGTATTAGCATGATCTCTATGGCGGGAGCCAACGCTTGTTTGCTGTCTTATTAATGTGGCGACTTTTTCAAACTCTTCGGAGTCCACATCGCCATCACCATTCAAGTCGAACATGCGAAAGGCGATTTCAAAGTGACGATGCGATGCTGAAAAATAGCGCTGGTTTAAGCTGGCGAGGATGCAAATCGCCACTCACTTGATAGCACGGTGAGAAGGAAGATGTAGTCGGAAAAGTTAATCAGGCCGGCGCTGCCTAGTTTGTAGAAGATGCTATCCTGGTCGAGGGTCAAATCCAGCTTCTTTTGCACTACCTGCAGAAACGCTCTTTAGATTGTATTTTCAATTGAAAACAGCATAACATATAAGTAAAACTCTGGTAAAACCTAGCTAGCCTAGGTGATTTGTTCTAAAAACAGCCTTAGCAATGTCCAAAGGGCTGTGGAAATAAGGGCACAAAACAAAGCGCGAGTGTCCCAACATGCTCAAAGTAGAAAAACTTAACCAAAGCGGAAACTCCTGAAAACGCATGCACCAAATTGAGACTACTTTTACCTGTAAACCGTGCTGAAAAAGATACAAATAGATGTGATTACATACACAGATAGGATCTTCCTATAGTGGGAAATTCCGTTAAAAGCTTAGAACTTGACTTGAGGGTTTTGCATCAAGAGGTGAAATTAATGGGAACATTTTTATATCCAACTTACTTTTGGATCGTAGCGCTTGTACTGATCTAGCCCCAGGCCTGCAAACAACAAAAAACATAGTTAATCCTCAATGTACCATTTTGAGTCAAAACCCACGCTAATTTCTTAAGTGGAGCACAGAAGCAACATCGACAATCAAGCAATAAAACAGCGAAGCCAAAAGCCCAAAACTAGTAGATATTAAGTAGTTAGTAAAGCTTCAAAAGGACTTGACTGGCTAAAGCAGAAGGAAGTGAACGAAACTGACCATCAGGCTGTTTTGATCCGGGAGTGATTGATCTTAAAAAGTCATCAGGAGTCATGTAGACCTCGTGCTGATCCACTGCAGGCCCTTGAACTTGGAGAGTGGCAAAGTACCGAAAAACCTTGTCCGGCGCTGAGTAGTGCCGAATGCGGTTTTCATACTGAATTATCTGCGAATGCGGGCGTGTTAGTTCTGAGAAGCCCAGGAACTCGCTTTTTCAATAGCCCAGGACTTAGGGATTAGTAAGTGGTAGGATACAAATTTAGTCCACACCGACAGTTAGTCGCAAACATAAACTTCCAACCCGCTACAACCCATTTACCAGTACTTAAGTATAATTTACCGTCAGGCTGTTTAACTCCCGGTGTGATCGCTCTTAGAAAATCATCGGGCGTCATGTAAACCTCATTGGATTCACCAATAAGCTTTACAGTAGCAAAATAGCGAAATATCTTGTCGGGTGTGGAGTAAGATCGCATTCGGTTCTCATATTCTATAATCTGGGAGAAAAAAACCAAAAAAATGCTTGAACAAAAAGCCGGCAAAGCGCACCTTCCTGTCGCGGAATCCGACTTTCTCCTTTCGCTTTTTCTTCTTTCCGCCAGCTTCTGTACTTTCATCATCACCGTCCGTTGACTGGTCGTCACTTTCCTGAAGGGCCTCCGCCTTGACCAGAGGCAACCCCCCAATCCTAAAGAACACCAATAGGGCGATCACATGGACGCAAGTTAGGAATTTACCGTTTCCATTCCACGAAGGGCGAGAGCAGGAACAGACACATTAACAGCAAGTAGCCCTTGGGAATTGGGGCCCCCTTTTCAACATTTGACTGGCTGTTTGGGATTGTATGGTGGTGTCTGTGCGATTCGATAACATGGCTGGGAAGTGAAGGCAGGACTTTGGGAAAGGTGTTTTGGCGAAGTAGGCGCGATCTGAGTGGCAGTAGACGCAAAATGGGAAAATAGCTCATGGCGCTAGCACAGAAAGGTCGAAAATAGTAAGATGTTACCAGGAAGCAACGGTCATGGTTCTCCAAGTGAAACCGCACACATTTAAGCACTTTTGGGTTGTTTTGGCAAAAAACTGACACTGATAACCTAAAAATGGATGTTATGTGACACCTGTGTGTGACACTGACGTCTCGAATATTGGGTTATTTTTTGTTGGGATTATGTCAGGTTTGTTATTATTATAACAGAGACAAGAAATAGTTATCCCTTGTCTCTGATTATAATGTGCCATCAAAAGAATTGTTGAAAATACTGTACTGCGTGAGTAACAGTATTATTGTGTGTAATCGAGGCTACGCATTTAGATTCCGGCATTTGTATTTATAATGCCGCTCTCAAGAATATTACCGATCACCAGAGGCTTGCTTGGAACTAAGCAAATTAACGTTAAATCGCCTGCGTTTATTAATGGAACATGGAATTTCGTGCAGAACAGAGGGTATAAGAACTTTGGCCACAAGAGGAAAATGGAACCCATGATTAGCATATGTCTTCTACTTTTTCTAAGTGGAGGTATGACCTTCTTTATGATAGACTGGAGATGGTAAGTGGAAGTCCACAAGCTTAACAATAATAGGCATAATTATTATATATATACGTATATGTATATAACGTCCATTTATAGTATAATTTATGTAAGCTTTATTGCATACCTAGTGCGTTTGGGTTAGTTTAGTGCATTTGCAGGTGTCGAATGTTATATTTGAATTATACTGGCCAATTGAAGGAGAAGCCCCAAGACACTTCACCCACCAAATAGATGGACATTATCGAATCAAATTGAAATTCCATGTAGTTGAATAATTTATTGTATTAGAATGTTATAACCATTTAGTCTACGAGTAGTTTTTTTTACCTTATAGTTCATTGTAATTACTAGTACATAACAATTTCCAACAAAACTTTTTAGGTCCACATACTACATACTAAATAATATTAATGTAAAAAAATTATATCGGGGACACAAATAGGCATTGCCACATGTTCTAATTCGAAATTGACATATTTATCAAGAATTTGAAGCATTTTGACACTGTCAAATGTTGTTTTGAAAGGAGTTTTTTTCCCAATTTTGTGCAAAGATATACAAAAACTATCGGCTTAGAACTTTGTGTTTTGGGTCTCCTATTTCGCGTCCAACCGATAGTTAACACTCCTTTTTGCAGGTAAGAAGTGGCAACCATACTGCAATTTATACCTGTAGGCATGTAAGGTTAGAACCTGTACAAAAACTAGCAAACTGAGGGCCCTTGAAACTTGAGCGTGGTAGAATTGTTATAAACAACTGCAACTACTGGATGATTTATTAGGGCAAATTTACGCGTTGTGGCGAAGTGAGCGCAAAGGCATTGAGAACATCTGGGATGCTACATGATATGATTATGTATACATGAAAATGTATACAAATGTATAATGCCTCGAAGCTCCCTGAATGTTCAGCGTGTGTTTCTACAATTATCGGAGCAATTGACTTTGGAAAATATCTAATTGTATTTCACTCTATAAGGCTTCAACCGCCAAAACAAGTAATAGTTTCTACTGAGCCAACCGAGGGTGTTTCTGTGCCTCCTTTCATCATAATTGGGGCTGATAATATTTACTACTCTTGCGTGTGACTGAATCCCACTTGATTAAATAATAACGCTAACTTGCTGATGAATTAAAGTCTACGAGGGAATTCAGTTTTTAGATTTGGATGTCACGTTTTATATTCCTTGCAGTCCAGTTATAAAAAAATGATTTATTACAAATAATCGGCGGGTTTAAACTTGATAGGCCACGTAACAAATGATTGCGCCATGCTTTCCTTTAGTTAATAACACAGACTATCAAACTATTAGCTAATAGTTTGATAACATGATGAAATGAAAGCAGTTTCATTTGATTTCCAGGTGAAAATGGCAATTCGTCGGCATTGTGACCCAATAAACGTGAAGAAAATCTGGGATGCCATACGATTGGCCAGTGCGGGCCACCAATCCTGCGATTCAAACAGAATTCTAAAACATTTTCAGAAGTCTAATGATTGCACGCAGGAACAAGTCGAGCTCTACATCAACCAATGTGTTAAGGATGGACTGATCATGTTAGTATGAACAATCGCTTATTTACTTGTAAGCACTTTGCCACGATCTATTCCTAATTTCCAGCGTGAATAAAAAAGCCAACGCGGAGCAGACGTACAAAGTAACGGACCAGAACCAGGTGAGTGTGCCTCTATTTATTCCAGTGCCTCCCGAAGCTAAAACTATCTGGTCTTGTCTTACAGCCACAGTTTGTTTTTAAAGATTGGTACTGTTTCGAGTGCCATTTAGCAGGCGACGTGAAGGTATGCGAAAACTGTTTCCGAGTTTTCCATTTCGACTGTATAAAGATTGCGGAACAACGATTCAACATTCACAAACCAAGTGATTCTCTGCGATCTAGTATTGATGCTGGTATGAATGTTGGCGAAATTAGTATGGACATTTCCACTAGTTCCAATGCTGCCGACAAATCGTCTGTTCATTTGTTCAATGAGAAACTGTGCAGCGTTTGCAATATCATCAATATTGATGACTGCAAAATGGACAAGTCTGAGATGAATTATCTGCTCAAGTTCGTCTTGCACCGAATTAGGACTTGGGTATGCGGCAAAACATTTACGCATTTTTTGAAATTTGACGCAATAATTGGGTTTTAGTTACCATACACAATTACCGAGAATATCGGCGAAGACGAAAGGCCCAGCTGGCTGACAGACACAGAGCTCACATGGCGAGCCAACCAATTATTCTGCGAGCATCGCGATATGTCCGTTCTTGAAGTTAATCTTAACTCAGAAGCGTACAATATCCTCTCAGAATTTCTGGCTGACATTCTCACTATCCAGCACAACGTCGCTATTTTCCATGGAAGTGAGTACAAAGCAAGTGCAACCAGTTCCCAGTAACTACATGGTAGTTTTAGGTAAATCTCTTGAACATTCCGCTGCAGAGATGATGATTCGCGACGCCCTGCACGACATATCGGAGCTGAAGAACTGCGTGGACTGCTACAAGCACAGCAACGAAAAAATCCACTTGCGATGGTTCACTTTGCCTTGCCGAAATCCTCATGAGCTAGTTTGGGCGAAGCAGAAAGGCTACCCTTATTGGCCGGCGAAGGTAAGCGTGTGCCTCAAAGCTGATCAAACAACTGCAACCATTCTTGCTTGCAGGTAATTAAGGAAACTTCTTCACATTATGATGTGCGATTCTTCGGGGGGAAGCATGAAAGGTCGCTGATTCACAAAAGCTACATAAAACCCATCACTGTTCCAAAAGAAAAGCTAAAAGTACGTGTTAATTTTGAAGACAAGCTGGGTAAATAACAGTTTTTTGCCGTTCAGATCAAGTCGTCGACTGCATTTACTAAGGCCTTGGAGGAACTGATTTACCATCAGAAACTGCTGTCTGATCCCCAGGAAATTGAGAATTTGCTATCGGTATCGAAAAATAAAAAAGTCCAAAAACGACCGCTGTTGTCGGTGAGCCATGCCGCTAAATCATTTAAGAAAAAGGGACAGTCCCCGGCTAGACAGACGAGCAACAGCCCGGCGATTCAAGAAATCCAAAGCGAAGCTGGCTCGAGCGGTACACTACTTTAATTGGCAACTAAATTAACCAGCGTACTTAAACAAGCCGCTTTTTCCTAGATATGTCGCAGAGAACCCCAAGCAAGCGACCTAAATTGGAGGCGGAAGGCGGTTCGAGTGAAGTAATTTCGGGCAATGTGATCGACATTTCAGATGGCGAAGAAGAGGAAACTGACTATTCATTTAGGGGAAACAGCGGCGCTGCGGATCCTTTTAGATTCGACGAGCACCAGGAGCAAGTATCTAGCTCGACAGAGAATTACAAAAAGCCCCCACAAAGCGCTGATCTGCATCAGCTAGATCAGCCTTACAGCGACTCAGTAGAGAAGGTAAACTGCAATCGCTTATATTGTCAGCACAATCCTCATAGTTATCCTGAATATTTCAAGATGAGACGAATGGTTGAACCGTTGTCCGATAAAAAGGAAATTATCAAGTGCACAATGGACTGCATGCAGGCCGAGATTGACCGAATCACTGACGAACACAATGAGCACTTAAAAAGGCTGTTTGAATCCCACAACATGCAGATTTCTGAGACAAAAAAGAAACAATGGGTAAGAGAGGGTCAGTGTTGCAGGGAAATTTGTTAAAAAATTTTTGTTTAAATTTCAGTGCTTCAATTGTGAGCAGGATGCCATTTACCATTGTTGTTGGAACACCGCGTATTGTTCACAGACTTGCCAGCAACAGCATTGGCAGGCCGAGCACAAGAAAGTCTGCCGACGGAAACGGCAAATATAGATTTGCTTTGAATATTTTATACAATAGGCAGTGTCCAATTGGGATAGACGTGTTTGTTCATGTATTTTATTCATTCACATATGTGGCAGTTTTAATATTAATTAGACTGTATCCGCCGATTTCGTGCAACTATAGTGTGTATTAAATAGTTTTTAAGTTTAAGCGTATTTTGATCTGCGTATAGTTGACGAGGTTTTGAGGCGGGGTTGGCGGAGGCACCTTTTTGCATTTTTTTTCTAGCAACGGAGTACTTCACTTTAAAAGTTAAATCAAAAGTTAAAAATTAAAAAAAGTGATTCCAAATTAAAATCTGTAACGTTTTTTGGAGCATTTTTTACCCTAATATACCCCAAAAACTAATCAAAAAGCGTTTACTTAAAAATATAAAACTCCGTCCACAAAGGGATAAGGGCTAGCTTACGCAAATCTGGCAACTGATAAAGATATAAAATTAATGTTACGACTATCTGCTGATGGGCACCTACTGCTGTTCATTTAGTTCTAAAAACTCGACATTTTTAAACGCTGCAAATTGTTGAGAATGCTGCTCTAAAAACTGCAGCTCGTCCCTTGTAAGCTGTTCGTTCAACTGCCTTAATGCAGTGAGGATTTCGCCCTGGAAAACCAGCCATCGATGCCACCACAATTCAAGAAGCTAAACAGTTACTAACTAACCTTTTGTCGGTCTCTGGCTTCAACGCTTATTTTATTGAACTTTAATTGCTCTTCAACAGTCTCAAGTCTTTCTCTCAGTTGCTTGGGTTCTCTTCTCCCAAACAGCCGTATCACTTCTGGCGTTTTGAATGCTTGCGAAATTGCAGCTTGGGTCGCCTAATTTGTTGTTTCGTTAATTAATTGTTTAATTACAAGGTACTTGAATATATGGAAGCATATGAAGGGGTTGAGGAGTTGGGAATTTGTAGAATGCGAGGATTGAGTTCTGGCCACTTACCAGCTGAAGTGCGCCTATGGAATTTACCAGTGATATATCACCGTTTACTAATTTTAATAGACTCGCGTTCAGTTCCTTTAGCTGATCCATTGTTTCTTCTTTGATTTCTTCGTAGTCTGAGGCTTCCATTGATTCTCTATTCATTCCAATAAAACTATTGACATATTTGGTTATATGATAAACAGCTTTTAACTATTATGGTAGGTTTCAAATGCAGAAAGTCTAATAAATCAGGCTGGTTAAATTATTACCGCACTACTTTGTAGCGAAGGAATAATGTCCAAAGGAAAATAGAGGAACTCAGTGGGTGATTTTCGTATGATCAGTTCACTCCCAAAACGAGCAGGTGGCAAGTTAAGTAGGTGTTTAAGAATGTTATATTTTACAATATTAATTAAAGGACAAGTGCGGGTTCTTACTTGCAGGCCTCCAAATCGGACAGTTGTTCCATCAAGCGGTCCAGTTGCTTTTCAACATTGTGTTTCAGTTTTTCAGTCTCACCTTGTCCATGGGAGGACATTCTCCGTTCTTAGGAGTGCTCTTATTTGAAAGCGTTTTTATGCTTTTTTGAATACTTTGAATATATTTGAGCTGTTTAACCCAACATTTTTGATGTATACAACTTTTATGTGACAAATGCAGCATCTCGTTTTTTGCTGGCGCCAAAAAGAGAAAACGATTCAGTCAATTTTTTGAAAATTTTTGATAAAATATGTGTTTGTTTCAAATATAACGAACACATCAAGACTAATGTTGGATCGCAACTTGAATTTTTTTGTTTTTTATTTAGTTTAATTAATGAATATTATTGAATTAAAAGCAAATGTTACAATGCAAAACTTTAGCTGAAGGTCSATTTAACGAATTTTAAATAAATTTATCAACAAATTAATCCCACCCTTATTAAGAGTCCTGGAGCTTCGATGTACTTATTTGCATCGCGGGGGGTAAACGGTAGTTGACCAGAGCATTTCCTGGAAGTTGGTCACATTGATGCATGTTTATTTGCCACGTTTGACATACGAAATTGTGCCGGCTCATTTCAAAGCAACGACATCCGGACGGGCTTTTATTGCCAGCAGAGCACGCTACAGAAGGAGATAGGAGGAACGGGAGTGTCCGAGTGAAAAAAGGCTTAATAGTGTGTGAACAATTTGCTAGGGGCGCTCCTGTCACATAACGTGAAAGCCGCGTGTCACTTGAAAATTAATTTTTCACTTATTTTGCTTAACAGAAACTGATAATTTTTTAGACGAACTAGAACAATTAGAAAACGGTGTTTTACATCTCGCCAGTGACGAGCCATGAGCCAGGCGATTCCCTGGACATTTTAAAGTTAACATGTTTTTCTACGAATAATACTCCGCCATATTGGAATTATCTTAACCTTTGATAAAGAAAGTGGTTAGATAAGCTGTTAACAAAAACTAGTCATTATCAAAATTGTAGCTAGCTTGTAACAGTGTAAGTCCTTGTTTTGGTAGAATATGATTTCGATGTATTCGGCGCTTTAGTGAAAGTGATGTGATGTGCCAACCATTGTGAACATATGCAGATACGAAAAGTAAACCTGTGGTGCCCACACTAGGGGACGCCGATCCCTAACCTGAGATGAGTACCAATCAGAAGCAACCGGCCACTGGGGGGCCTCAGACTCAGAGATATTCCAACTCGCCGTATCCTTTTTGATTCAGAAAATTTGGTACGCCCATCTGTCAAGTCAGTGTCAGGGCATTCATTAGTGAGTGTGAAAGTCCTCACTGATAGCTTTACGGCCCTTAATAAGCGTCCAAATCAGCGGCACCATTCACAAGTTAATTGCTTGGAATGCGCTCACTTCATTGCATTAATTTCTTGGAAATCTAGTGGTGGCAACCGCATTCACTAGCCAATCTCTGCTACTTGTACATTCACCATCGCCAGTTAATGCAATGAGGTTGCAGTATTATTAGCAAATTCTAAAGGCCATATGGTACCAATTCCTAAATGTGAGGAATGCCAAGCATTGCTTGACGCACCAACTGTAATAACCCATATTTAAGACTGCTCTTTTTATGGTACTAGCGGCAGCTGCAGTTACATCATATGATAACTGCTGCTAATTGGATGCTAAAGCAATACGCAAGTCGCCCTGCAGACCTACAAGCCCTTGCCAAATAGTTCGCGCTTTTTATCAGTTCGTGAGTATGATAGGAAGTAATTTTGGGTGCTGGTATTGCTCAATAAGTCGCCCATTCTGGGCCCTAAATAATCGTCATGAGGCCATTTTTTGGTGATTTTGGTAGGTACTCAGTGACGCAGGCGCTTGTTAAGTGGACGCCGGGTAACTCCACAGTGTTGCCGCAAGCCTGCTTTAGCAATCACTTCTAGCAGACACCGCCCTTTATTCGCTTTAAAGCACCCTAACGGTAAACGAAGGTTTTTTAAGTTTTGCTTGATTTCTCTTGCCCTTAACAGCAGCATTTTTCGAAAAATTTCCCAGGCTTATCGCTTGCGTGGTTCTGGATGATTGCCAGTCTCAAAAGCGACCCTCTCAAAATGCCTTGTTGATTAAATGCGGTTTTTCTCAATTGAATAGCTACCAGGCCATTAACTAGGTTATTCACCTTGGTCAATGAGTCATTGTATTAGTACCGAAATAGCCGTTTAGACTGCCTGTTTTTTTACATAACGCAGGACATAGCTTATCAAAAGCCATATCACTAGTGCCGAAAAGGTTTTCAATAGTATCAAAGCGATGAGGAAATGGTCCAGATTGTCAGTTAAATTTAATGAAAGTTGCACGTTTTCGTGCTGAAAAATGCACAATGGCAATAATCGCAACCGATAAAGTTCATTTCGGGTTTTATTTTCGATGCCAATGATTGATTATTTCGGACAATTGGCCAATAAGGAGCGATGTTTTTATTATTGGGCTATAGTTGATTGGAATTTGGTGTTTTTAGTTTCGCTAGTACACATCTTCACAGTTGTGTTCGCTTCGGGTGACAGACTTGTAAAGATCTATCGATCTATCTCCAATAAGCTGAAAATAACCGATTATCCGGGCAAACGAAAGCTGTAAAAGTCATTACAGCACACAGTGAATGTTTCTATTGAGCCCACACGAACACTGTATAACCGACGAAATGTGGCTTATAGGCCTGCCGTTTTCAACGCAGTTTAGGTGCAAGGGCGGATCCAGGG